CCGACTTCGAAATGCACTAAAAAGTATAAAATAATTTCTATTTCCTAATGGAGTAATTTCTCTTTCATTCAATCATACAATTACGTAACAGATATGAATGAAACCTATTTACTCGTTAGGTAGTATATTAAATACATTTCAACCTTTTCGGAGGTGGCAGTTCAGAATCTTTTTGAATGATTAAAGCCATTTACAGTATTAAAACTCTGTTTAATATAAGAAGAACGAAATGACAGTTACGAATTCATTTACAGCTTGGTTAGTTTCTAAATTTAGCAGATATGTTGCTTTAGCGTTAAGGTATCCTCTCATTAAATCGTTCTAACAACACGACTATTTTTAAGATATTATAAAAGAGAAGGGAACGTTTTATACAATATTCGAATATTTTTTTATGATACTGCAGAAAGGTTTTTGCGTATTTCATTTAATGCTATGTTTTGCAAATGACGTCGAACGCCAAAATAGGTCAGTTGTTTTCGGAAATGATAAATCCGCATAGAATCGTTTAAAATCAGAAAAGTTAGGAAATTTTTAAAGTTTATGATTTTATATGTGAAATCATCTTTCATAGGTCAATCATTTTTCTTGATAAACTTTTCAACGCATAAAATTACTTATTCTTAAAAATTTACTGTTTAAAGATCTACTAAAACATAAAATTTCAATGTCGTATCATGATCGTATATAATTTCGTATAAATCTTACAAATTTTGTCAATATTTATTTATTTTTTATTAATAATAAAAAATTTGTTATTATTCCATGAAATCTTAAAGTTTTTGCAAACGAATATGTTTTTACCATATTGTAACACCGTAAACGCGTAATATGCATGAAATAATGTACATATGTACAGCCGAGTACTATTGTTTTAAAAGAAAAACTTAGAAAGACTTTTCAATAAAAAGTACTTTACCTTTTCATTTGTAAAGCTGCTAAAATTGTCCGTGTTGTCTTGCAAAATTATGCTCGTTCAATTACCGAAACTTTCAATAAATGTAATTTGACTTTTCAGTTCTTTCGATGCGTAATTAATTGCTTGCACTAATTGGCACTTACTTTCGATATCTTTACCGTATACGTTTTCTTTAATATATTCTTTTAAATAAATGTTTATGGGTGCAGGATCTGTAAGCCTTGGAAGCTAAGCGGTCGTTCCTCCATATCCTGCAGAATAATTATACAGGTTTTTCCTATAACCAGGTTCCTTTCTGCTCAATTCATCCATTATTGCACATGGTATCCACGGCTAATGTGGCAGCGCAACATTTTATAAACTATTGACGATACGAAAAACTGTTTATATGTATAGAAGTGGCGGGGTAATAGGGGTTCTATGTTTTGGCGCAAACGAAAATTTTTTAATGTTATTAATGCAAAAGATATGATGGTGAAGTTTCATTTTTTAAATACAACCATATATTTTTCGATTACACTATAGTGCTTTTCAAAACGTGTTTATTAAGATTTAATGTTCTTACACGATAGTTTTCGAGATATAACGCTTAGAAATTTACTGGTTTTCAGAAGAAACGTCTCGATTTGAGTAGTAAGTCATAAAAGCGGTCTTATTGTTGTGATCAGTGTCGCATGTTTGACTCTAGTTACTGAAACCGATAGTGGAGGTTTACGGTTGGAACGGCAGGTCAGAAGAGTAAGAAACGTGGAAAGTATTGTCCATTACAGTCGAAGTTTCTGAAAAATTTATTCTACGTGTTTCCCGCTGTTCGGAATACATGTTTTTATTTGGTTCGGGAATTCTTTTTCCACATGTATCATAATGTTTATTGGAATCTTTTTACACACAATCTGAATTCTGTTTTTTACATCTACTATACATATATGTGAGTTCAAAAATGGTGAGTTCATCTTGACATGTGTTACTAAGGACATGTCCCTGAGTAACGCACACAAAGTTTCAACAGTCGTTCATTGTTTATCAACCCTTTCGTTACGGCAGTCCGTTCTACTGGGGTGACGCTACTGAACTAGG